AATGGCTGCAATATAACAAAGAGTGAAAAATTTAAGGGGGTCTGAATACTTTCCGTACCCACTGTATATCCATCCACACTGCAGACATTGATTAGAGATCAAAAGTTAAAAGCTTTGGCTGGCAACTACTGAAGTGAAGCATCTCTATCACTGAATACCTCAGACTAGACGTAAGTAAACACTGTACTCCTCTTTGACCCCTGCGGTCACTGTACACCTACCTATAGTCAGAAGGTCTGAGGCCACAGCGGTGACTGTGCAGTCAGATGCGTTCAATACAACAGCTCACCCTCAGCCGTGACCTTCAGACCCATTACAACAATAGTCATAAAGCTCTCACAGTATATGCACTTTCCTTTGTCTGCAATTCATTTACTTGCAAACACAGTACACAAGCCACATTTTGCTGTTTGTACTGATAGTGAGTGTTTTACTTACAGTGAGTGAATACTTATACGCAGGGCCTAAAATTAACACTAAAGAGATTCGCTGTTTCTGACGTAAGCAAATAAAATAATATTTTCCGAAGACAAGATCAATGTGATTGGTTAGCTGTTCTGTCATAAGCGACAAAAGCGAATCAAATAATAGGATACAAATGGGCTGATAAGGTCAGAGCAGTGTGATGGCCAACTTGCCCCTAGCCACGGTTCTAATAACTTTTACCTGAGAAAATATTGCTGCTTCATTTCGGAAGATTAACTATTCCCTTCTTTATTCTTCATAATCCAAGAATGTGGCGACACATACCTGGGGTTACGCCGCAGATACGGTGCAGTGAAGTAGACTATAGTTTAAAAGATTGCTCGTTCGGCTGTACACAGACGCTGTGTACTTTAGACAGCGCACCAGTAGCGCTTCAACGGACGAAAACACACAATTATGTAAAAATACGCGGTTTTGGCGAGTAACCTCGTAAACGTAGTCTTAAATGAGTTATAAAGTCTTAAATGACCATAAAGAGTTTGGAGAAGAAATGTGTCAGATCCCCATCATGTGCATCAGGTTTTAAAGAGGCAGCGCTGCTTTTAAAGTAAAAGCTGCTGAAGTCTGTCATTGATGTAAATCAAAGAACAAAAGAAAAAGGGAAATCACTCGACTGCTCTAGTCGCTGATTAACTTTTGTAGCTTGAATAAAGATTAATCTGTATAATTTATGCATATACAACTTATAGTTTATGTGAAGATTGTTTTAAAATCACTTAATATTTCAGAGCCTATTAAATGTTAAAAATAATGGCTTTCAATTATACTGTAATGTTGAATGGCTATAATTAATAGGCAAAATTGAGGGGAAATGTATTTAATAGAGACACCAGTAGCAGTATTGGTATCAACACTTCATTAATAATATACTACTTAGTAAAAAGATGCCATTTAAACATATTTAAAATATACCATCTTTATGTTGTTTCTACATTAATTTGGAGGTTCAATGTGAAATTATGACTATAAATATGCGATTAATCATGATTAATTACAGAAAAATGTGTGATTAATTATTTTTTTAATCGATTGACAGACAGCACTAATGTTTCCGATTTCAAATTAATTTTGAATCTTATAGGTCCCCCCAGAAAGAGACCAGGACGGCCCCCACCCCCTTGGCCCCCTTCAAATTTTCAGTTTGATAATTCGGCCCTCAAATTAAGCTAAATATATAGCCCTGCTCTAATCTGTTAACATGGATGCGGAAAAAAATACGAACTGCAAACTGAGTATGTGTGAAACAGGTGTAACACGATGGCCTGCTCCGTTTGCTGAACAAGAATCTCAACGTTTTTTAGGGACAAAAAAAATATATGTAAATCAATAAATCTGTTTGTTGTTTTTTTCTTGTAAGTAAAGTAAAGGACGAATTAAAAACATTGTAAATATGTTTAGTCATTGTAGTAGTAATGACTGCCTGTTTTTGCAAAAAGAGTTTCTGTGTATTATGTGTTCACATAGTATTTCTTCACAAAGTGACATCGCCAACTACTGGACTGTCATGCGTAATACAGCCAAGTCGTTTTCACTGATGTTTGACAACATTGTTGTGTACAAGTACCCTTAGATGCACTTCTAAGGTATAAGTTAGAAGATGCATAAGTCGCAAAAGTTTATATTGTATAAATCTTTGATCACTTACAAATTTAAAGCTGGCAGATTTTATGTCTTTACCAAAGCCAATATTTACTTACTTTTGGCATTCGCCGAGTGCTAATTTTGGACCCTGTTTAGAAATCTATAAAACACAGAAGGCTGCAATGGTCTAGATATGAAAACATACAGAATCCATGTGATTTGGGAGACTGTGGCATAGAAATTTTTATTTTTCCCCCTCCATTTACTACTTATGTTTACACTAAACTGTTTAGTTGCAAACATGACGTAAGGTGGTGTTAAGTATAACATTTCAAAGCAATAATATGGAAATAACATTTAACAATTGAAGCATGAAGAATTCTGTCCTATGTTCAGGTTCCTGTCATTCCAACACACTTTTTATGTATGTAGCGCAGATTCTATAATAAATCACCTAGCAGTGGGCCAACTGTATGCATTAATTTTTAAAGCTCTGCCCATTTTGTTTATGCACTATAAACAGCCCTTAAAATGCAAATGAAGGAGAAATCCACTTTCACCACCTGCTGGTGCTTCTCTGTGTAGTTTAGGGATTGGACTGCCCTCATTTACACTCAATCAATCATAAGCCCTTATTTAACTATCGGAATTATGTTGCCTTAACAGATGATGGGATCCTGACATGGTTTTGTTGCAGGCTTAAACAGAAATGAATTAGGCCCTTTGCATACAGAAAATTGCATATGGTCAAATAATCCAGAGTGACAATCGAAGGAAATTGGACTATGCTGTTTGTATGTGAGCATTAGCGACTAAAACATGGTATTTTATTATCTGTGAGTGAATTTTGTGAAAGAAAACATTATTTTTGGTGAAAGGTGAGCTGTTTATCAGGAAAATATGAGGTGTCTATGTATTACCCACATACTGCTTTGAATCAACAATTATTGTTCATTGACCATCACGCCGCCACCATCTAATGGAGGATCATCATCTTGGGGATGATGGGAAATAAGAGGGACTTCTCAATCTGTTGGACTTCTGGCATAACAAATCGATTATACTTATGTCTCATGAATTTAGACAATGATGCCGAGATGTCTTGTTATAAATATTCAGCAGTCATATTTAATAAATGAATGGTTCTAGCCATCAAGTCCAGGACAACTGCCTCTCCACATGCATTCTAAACACTGTTTGGTTTGGTATATGAGTTTTAAAACATTTTGAGTTAGTGAAGAGAGCAAAATATAGCACTTTAGAAGTTCTACATCAATTTCAGATCATGTGTAAAACCACCAAGTTTTACATCAAACTATTACTGATGACAGTTTCATTCAGGCATTCTGTTCTTGTGAAGTATACAGTTCACGGCCTGTTCTTTCGGGTGTCTATATAGAAAGAGTGTGAAATGGTGAAAAGAGCAATGCCATTTACAGATACTGCTTCACTTGTTTAAACAGAAAGCTGTTGAGGGAAACCGGCAGTGCATTTTTGAACGAGGCACTTTTGCCTTTTTTGAAGAAATGCTGGAAAGGCTTGACTGAAGCTTAAATGGCCTTAAATGCAGGCTTTAACATGTGTTAATTTTCTTAAGTGAAGGCAGGAAAAAGTTTCAAATACAAGCTTGTTGTGTTATTATGGTCAGTCTCATATTTTGCAGTAGATGCTGTCATCAGGTTTATATAGTTTTATACACACAAATGTAATGTTCCTCTTTCGAAAAACATCTCTTGTGGTCACCGAGGCTGCATTTATTTGATCAAAAATACAATTAAAGAGTAATACTGTGAAATATTATTACAAATTAAAATAACTGTTTTCTATTTCCATATATTTTAAAATGCAATTCATTCCTGTGATGACAAAGCTGAATTTTCAGCAGTCATTACGTCAGTCTTCAGAGTGTCACATTATGCTTCATAAATCAATATGCATATTCTAATATTCTGATTGATACATGCTTGCTGAATAAAGGTGTTTGTTTCATTCACAAAAAAAGAGATAATATACAATATATGGTCAGAGGACATACAAAATAGTGAAGTCACTGAAATGTTTGCCTCTGAAAATAAATGCAGAGCCTATCAGTATAAGTCTGCCAAGTAAATCTCTCTATATAAAAGTGTTGTTAGATTCCTGGCTGGCAGATTAACTCAGTCATGGTTTACTAGTACTGATTTATTTATTTATTTAATGTTTTATTTGTATAGGGACAGATACATTAAACATTGGGACAACAGCCATCTAATGCATGTATCATAGTGCGTGTAGCAACACTTTTCCCTAGAAGGGCAATACAAAAAAAAAACCGTAATATTTCTGACTTATGGGTGATTTTTTTTTTTTTTTCATGAATTTGAAGTAAACTATTTTATGTCTGGGAATTCAGTAGTATGACAAGAGTCACTTTATAACAATTTCCCAAAGGTTTTTTTTTTTTTTCCTGCAATGAATAGCCCTGTGTTTGACAGCATGGATTCTGGGAGCTTGTGCCACTGTACCTTTGAAATATTTTTATGGCACTCTGATACTCAAAGTTTATTTATTTATTTTATCTGAAATCTGAAGGTATGATCATCATTAAGAAATACTAGTATAATTAAGAATTTTTTTGTATCATTCTTACACTTGGGGTTTAGTGGCTTTTGTTGCAGGGAAAGTCCATATTTGTCTTACAGTGAATGAATCACTTTTCTTTTCCCTCAGGCTGGTCCCTTAGCTGTGGAGCCATGTTCTGGGAATTGTGCTGCTGTGCAAACATTGCTGTTGAGTCTTCCACGGTCATCCTCTGGAGCACCTCCCCCCGGCCAGTGTGGTGAGAACTCACAATTCAACATTCACTTAACATCTTAGCTCTACATGCCATACT